AGGATGACTATCAATTAGTTTTCCGGTTAGGTGCAGTGCACCGTAGCATGTGCTCGTCTCACCATGACAATGTTTGGTGAGTTTTCAGAACAATTAGGTGCCCAGTTGATTATGAGACGGTAGGGCTGTCCGAGCTTGTGTGGAGTTGTAAGCAAAACAGATGTCCGTAGATGTGCACAGTGGGGAACTTCCGTCAGTCCACGAAGTCGAGGAAACGGGTTTTGATTAAACCAAAACCAGCTCATGAAAGTTCGTGGGTAACGGTTGTGAGAACTGAAACTAGAATCAAAACAAAGCGCGAGTCAACTGAATCTCTATATAAGTATTATCTTTCTTACTGGACATCGGCCCCCAATTGATTGCTGTTTTCCCACACCGCCTTGCGGACCAGACTTCGGCTAGTCAAAGGCTCCGGTTTTGAATCCCCCAAGAAAATTCTCTTGCCTTGGCCAAGGTAACCTGGCAGTATTCCGCCCACAAACCAATCATGAATCTTTCTCTTTTTTATAAAGAATTTTTTACTATGATTATTTTGGCACAGTCTGACCTCAGACGCGTGTGAAATATATACGTACTTATTTCATACGCATCTAAGTCCAAACTGGATATGTAGGAAGTGTAATATGCGAATTCCACTGTTTAAGACATCATATCACCTATTGCCTGTAATCATTGTTTACACCTGTCTCCAGGTCCAACCGGAAAGATTAATAAGTCATTAACCAGCATCTCTGATCAGGCTTTTTAAACCCTCTACCATCTAATTCGGCCACTAGTAAACCGTCGTTTCTATGTTCATTACTAGCATCAAATTCCGATAATGTTATCTGTTCCATTCCCTATAAGAAAATATAAGCTATTTTCACCTCTGCAGCATTTCTTTTGTTGTGTCTGTATTCGGGAAAATTATGTGCTACTCGTTCTTGTTGCTTTCACTGCATCCACTGTCTTCTGTCTGCTGTATTCAGTTGTTTCTGGTTTGTCAATTTCGTTCGTTCTTATTCTTACCAACAGTGCCATTGGACTGTCT